ATAACAAAAAGGTAATAATAACTATCAATATGGAGCATCCTTGTATTTATATTGCATAAAATATACACATATAAAAAATTAAGTATTACACATTTCACTTTGCCTACAAAGTAGGCATTATTCCCATTTAAATAATTAACAGAAAAAATATAAGTGAAGGCCAGATTATGGAGAGATCTACGGATTCTCCTAAAGTGACAATAAAGGAGAAAATAAGTTAATAATTATTCACTGAAAGACCTAACTTGCAGTTTCCTCCATTTGCAAAGCTCTTTTTCCTTTCATTCCATCTTAAATGATCCTCCTCAGAAGATACCTTATTTCCCTAAGATAGTCTTTTCCTTCACTCTACTTGTTTAATTTTTCTTCATTGTGCTTTATTATCGTGCAGTATGTGAAGTTTATTCATTTGCTAACTCTCCCACCATAATGCAACCATGACATCACAGACTTGATCATTCCTCTTTGCCCAGTGCCTAAACCAGTATCTGACACACAGTAAATGCTCAAAATACATTTGTTTCTTAAGTTACTTATCCTAACTGGATTTTCAATATAAATATATCTATTTACTAAATTACTTAAATTGGATTTCCAAAATGTTTGAAAGAGAAAAGATGAATTTCAAGCAATTATTTGGCTGATCAGAAAAGCAAGATGTTTAAATTAACAAAACTCCCTTTTGACATTGAATTCAAACCTAAGTAGTTAGCAGAAATCTAATAACATTACTATTCTGCTTCAGTAGTCCCCTAAGCCTAAAGGATAAATTCTATTCATTGTCAAATTTTAATTGTTTAAATACTTATTGAACAAAATATGCAGCATACCATGTAAAAATAACCAAGGGGAACTTTAAAATATTGAAGACAGTCCTTAAGGCTCTTACACTCTAACAATAAAGTGAAAACTCCATGAAGTCAAAAATTATATCTGTTTTGTTGATTACTATACAAGTAATCAATAAAATACATAGTATAATACTATACATAGTATATTACTATACATAAAATTGCTACACATATTTCTATATATAAAATTACTATACATAGTATACTATATTACTATTAGTATTACAACTGTTATACATCTTATATGTAAATTGTTATTGTATGTTACCAAATCTACTAAATAATTTGCCTGACTAACTTTTACTTGTAAGCAATTGCATTTTCAATGACCTTATGAAAGTGAAATTGGATTTGAGTAATTGGAGTTAGAAAAAGAGAAAATAAGAATAAACAGAAATAGGTAATAAGATGAGCTCTGGAACCCACAATAGTCACAGACTGGCTAGCAGGCTGGTTCTCAATTGAGAGTGCTAAGGCCTCCTCCCTGCTCACTCATCCTCTCTCAACTGCTACTGGCGGTCAATGGCGGGGGGTGCTGTGGAGGGCAAGAATACAGAGTAACTTTAACGCACAAGCCTGGCAAGTCCCACACAACAAAGAACTGTCCTCTGCTATCTCAATAGTACTCCCTAGTGGAAAGAAAAAACCCTAGCAAAAGACAGGTGAAGTAGCAATCGAAGGTGATTGTGTCATTTTCATTTTTAATCTACAGTATATGTTTGCTACCAAAGAATGCCTATCACAACAGTCTAGGCAGGAAGTAATAAAAATTATAAACTACAGAAATTGCAGCGGGGATAGAAATAAAAGATCCTACTGAAGTGAAAACTAAATATGTTGGAAAAAAAAAAAAAAACGATAAATATGACTGATATTTCAGGCCTAAAAGTCATTCTAGGCAAGACAAAGGTACATTTTCATCTATCTGGCCGAGCCACACCAAACACAGAATTACAAAATGCATCAAATGCTATTCCCTTTGCCTTCACTAGAGGAGTAAATATGCTTTTCTATCCTAGGATGCCTTTGTCATCCTAGTCAATTGCTATATGTGCGGAACACAGTTCAGAAACTAAGAGCTTAAGAAAGAAATGAAGCTGAAAAAAGTTAAGTGAAGTCTTTAGAGCTCTCCCTCCTGTAACATTATTTAAGTCAGCAAATTTCACGTAGAAAAGAACCACCAAGGGGAGCCAGGTGATTCTTAATCACGAACCAAGGACTGCAGCCTGCTAAGCGTTTCGCAGCATATGCCGCCAAGAACTTGGCTTATCACGCTGGCAGCTATTTAATGAATCTCATGATTAGGATTTTCTTAATTACTACCACTGAGAGAATTTTTTAAATAAATGTTGTTTGTATTTACTACTTTCACTAATTGCTCAAGCATTTATCAAATCAAATACTTCAATACTTCAAATATTCAATATGAGCATTTTCAGAGTAAATTCTCTAGAAAATTTTCAGATCAATTCTTTGGTTCATTTTTCAATATACCGAAGACCTGATTCAAACTCAAAAGAAGAGTGAATAATGTCTTCTTTCTCTTCTGATATCCTCTCTAGGACAAAGTCTATTTCATATTCCTAGTATTCCCTTATATTTCCAGTATCTAGCATACTACCAACACCTAGCACATAATAGGATTAGTGGATATTTCTCCAAGAAAAAGCAATGCATAAATAATAAAAGCTGCTACATATTTTTTAGAGAAAAATGAGTTTCAGTCTTTTATACATGTTACCTATTACATGATTATAGGCATTCAAAAAAATGCTAACGTTTATTGAGTGCATATATTACATGCCAGAACAACAAATGAGAAAGGGAAAATTGTAACTAGCTAGGTATATACAATGCCATACTGCTATTTCAGGCCTAAAAGTCATTCTAGGCAAGACAAAGGTACATTTTCATCTATCTGGCTGAGCCACACCAAACACAGAATTACAAAATGCATCAAATGCTATTCCCTTTGCCTTCACTCGAGGAATAAATATGCTTTTCTAGGGAATGCTGTAAAAATATAGGCAGAGGACTCTAGAATCTCTGATATCTATTCAGACTTCTGAAAAGTTCAACAATTAAAAGAGACAGACCTTACCAACAGAGGACTGAGATACCACTGCAGATGTTCTGTAATTATGGCTTAAGTATCATTCTAAAAAGAAAATACAGAACCTTTGCGGAAAACTCCTTCTAGCCTCTTGGAACTCTGAATTTCTGTAATCACTCACTTCACATAAAAAACACCTGCTAATTTACCTGGACCCTAGCAAAAACAAAGTAATTTCCCCTGATTGTTAGCTAAAAGTTCCCCTAAATAACTGCTAACTTCATCTATACCTTTCAAATGTTTTAAATAGACTATCACACAAACTCAATTCCTTAGATCCCTTGCCACTTTCCGGAGACGTTTTTAAATTTATCATATTCTGATTATTTCACTCCTGCATATTTCCCCATCTGTCCCCAACCAAACTACCACCAAGCAACTTAAGTTCCTGCTAATCTCAGAGCCCCTCTAAAGGCGAGAACCAGAAGGTAATGCCTCTACCTCAACAACTGTCTTATTAATATGCAATTCATTTACTAACACACTCCTCTGTCCAAAAAATAGCTATACTATATTCATGGTTAGCCAAAATGTTCCTTCAGTGTATCTAAATAAATGAATAGGTATATTCTTACAGCTGTACTTATCTCTATATTCAGTGACAGCTACCCAATTCTATCTATCTATTTATTTATTTATTTAATTGAGAGTCTCACTCTATCACCCAGGCTGGAGTGCAGTAGCATGATCTCAGCTCACTGCAACCTCTGCCTCCCAGGTTCAGGTCATTCTCCTGCCACAGCCTCTTAAGTAGCTGGAATTACAGGCATTCGCCATCACGCTCAGACACTTTTTGTAGTTTAGTAGAGACAGGAGTTCACCATATTTGGCTAGGCTGGTCTTGAACTCCTGACCTCAACTGATCCTCCTGACGTGGCCTCCCAATGTGCTGGAAGTATCAGCATGAGACACTGTGCCCAGCCCCACAGCTATCTAATTTTTTCCACTTTGTTTTATACTATAAATTCCTAGAAAGCAATAATGTATCTGTATATAACATTGTAGCATCTGTCATATCTTGGAAAATAGTTGACTAGGTGCAAAAAAAAAAAAAAAAAAAAGAAAGTAAACAGGTGCATGCATATTTAAAATGACTCCTGGTTTCCAGGGATGCTACTGAAAATTTACTAAAACACATCTTAAACAAAAGATTTGGGTGCACACATACGTATAATTCACAGAAGCAATTCCCAACTTTTCTCCGAAGGTCAGAAAAATCTCATTGATATATATAAGTGAAACAAAGTGACTAAAATAATTAAGAAACAGGATTCCAAGCAGCAATGGCCCTTGTGAGACCATATCTCATGCCATTAACACTTTGATTAACAATGTTATGAGCACAGAGTAGTGCAAGAGCTTTGCTTATTTCTATTTATTTTGTGTTGTTTTGGAGGGAAGAATATGGTAATTCCAAGCTACAACCACAACATTGTGAATGTACTCAGTGCTATTGAATGGTACATTCAAAAATGCTTAAAATGGTTAATTTTATGTTATGTATATTTTACCACAATAAAAAAAGCTACAAGCAAACACAAGCTACAGTGAACAATGATGATCTTAACTATATCAACACTAGAGAAATAAAGAGAATACTGTTAGTTCCAGACACTATCCAAGAGCTTTGTTGTACTTCTCTCTCAGTGCAAGAACTTTTAACAACCATTATGCAAAATAAAGTAAGGGTCACAATTTTACAGATGAGAAGGGCTGAACACTCATATATAGAGGGAAAAAAAGCTTTCAAATCATTCTTACCCTGCCACTTACTGCATAACCTTAGGAAAGTTGTAACTACTTTGCCTTAATTTCCCCACCTGTAGAATGGAAATAATAGCGTCCTTGCAAGGCTACTGTTAGAATTAAATGATATATCTTTGTATAAAACACCTAACAGTATGGCACATATTTGTAACTCAATAGATTACTAAACACTGTAATGGAGAGAGTATTTAGTTATCTATAGAGTTACAAATATGTGCCATACTGGTTATTAACTAATTATTGTGGGCACCTGGTTATTAACTAATTATTCTGGCTACGGCCTGACCCGCGTGCAGCCTTTCCACCAGGGCCGCCCCTTGCCGTACAGCGGCAAGACGCTGGAGTTCGCCGGCCAGGATCTCTCTGCTTACCTCCTGAAAAGCCTCTTTAAGGAAGATTGCGATAGACGCAGCGTGTTTCAGCTGGAGACGGTCGCCGTGACTCAGATGAGCAAGTGCTACGTGCCGCAGACTCTGGGGGAGGCCCTGGACTTTCGTGAGAGCCAGCAGAGTGGCTTGAATAAGAGCAACACCTATCAGCTCCCAGACGGCTCCCGCGTGGAGCTGACACCCATGCAGCACGTGGCTCCTGAGATGTTCTTCAGTCCGCAGATGTTCAAGCAGCCAGGGAACAGCATCCCACAGGCCATCCTGGAATCCGTAGAGTCCTGTGAGATCTCCCTGCGCCCCCTGCTGGCCTCCCACGTGATGGTCTGCGGGGGCAACACCCTTTATCCCGGGTTCGCAACACGCCTGTTCAGGGAGCTGATGTGGGATCATTTCTCCTCCGTCAGAGCCACGGTCTGGGCGGGTTCCAATAGAAACTTCAGTGTCTGGCTAGGAGCGTCCGTGGTGGCTCACCTTTCTACCTACCAGTCTGAGTGGATGTCCCGAGAGGAGTATGGTGAGCGTATGAGGGTGTGACCCTACTGGCTCACCCCTGAGAATGGGCCCCTGTTAGATGGGCACGGGTAGATTAATTTCAGCAAAAATGTTCTGGGCAGGGGTAGAGTTAGATGGGGTGGGGTTACCTGGCTTTGGAATTCTGGGGGCATGAGGGTATTTTTTAGGTTTTAAGGTTTTATCTTGTTGCAAGAATGGGACCCACCCAAGGGGGAAGATAAGATGTCATCCTTGGCAACCCTACAGGGGACAGTTTTTCCAGGGTGGCCTGCCACTGGAGTAGGAGTAGCTGGCTGCTGTCTCCATGTCTGAGAGCCACGGGTTTTTCATTGACATCCCCCTTGGTCTGTCTCATTCTTCTTAGTTGAGTTGGTTTTAAAGTACCCACTTACTGTGGTAAGGTGCCCACAATAATTAGTTAATAAATGACACAATCGGAATTCAATGCTAAGTCTTCTGAAATCTAAGTCTAGCTTTTTGTTTTATTACTGCTATCTTAACAGTTACCAAAAATATATTTTATTTTCCTAATAGACAAGGTCTCACTCTGTTGCCTAGTCTGAAGCACAGTGGCGCAATCATAGCTTACTGCAGACTCACGCACCTGGGCTCAAGCAATCCTCCTGCCTCAATTTCCCAAAGTGCTGGAATTACAGGCATGAGTCAATGTGCCTGTTCCAAAAATATCATTCTTTCATTTAGGATGAAAATTGGACTTTGTTCTAACTCTTTGGACTGATTCCAAAACCAAATATAGTCTAAAATACAGAGAGAAGATAAAAGTGAGAATAGAGCACTTACTGTGTGATTATTACATGAAACAATGACTGGGGCCGGGTGCAGTGGCTCATGCCTCTAATCCGAACATTTTGGGAGGCTGAGGTGGGTGGATCACTTGAGGTCAGGAGTTCAAGACTCACCTTGCCAAAATGATGAAACTCTCTCTCTCTACTAATAACAGAAATGAGCCAAGTGTGGCGGCATGTGCCTATAATCCCAGCTACTTGGGAGGCTGAGGCTGGAGAATCGTTTGAACCCGAGAGGTGAAGGCTGCAGTGAGCTGAGATTGCACCATTGCACTACAGGTTGAGCAGCAGTGAGCCTCTCAGAAAAATAAAATAAAGACTGGAAACTTTACTTGATTATCTAATTCAAATACCCTGTTAGTCTCATATTACCACTTCTCATGATGACACCAAGGTTCTCATAGGAAAAGTAATTTGCCCAAGGTTAAACACCTGGTTAACTGTTTTGCTGCAATTCAGACCAGATCTGTCTAATTCCAAAGAGTTCTCTCTCTCCCTGTATCTCTCAACCTGTCAAGAAAAAGGTTTACTAGTTTTAAAAATACCCAAAAAAAAGAATATTCTGAAAGTAAATTCCAGAACAGGAACTCTAAAAGGAGGTTAATTAAAGCTATCACTTCCTAGAAGTACATAACCTCCAAAGCATTATTTTCAAAAAGGAAATGTTCATTTAAGACATAAGTTTTGCTATGTGTTTATTGGATTTTTTTTGTTTGAACAATTATTTTAGAAAGTTTTTAATGTTTCTAAGCGAAAACATTTCCAACTGAGAAGCAGAGTCCCACCAACTTGGTCTCAGCAACAAAAATGGGTAATTCCCCTTCCATGTTCTGCTCCAAACTAACAGATTTGCAAAGCTATGCTACAGTCATAAGTGAAGAGGGGAGAACCAGACATATGTGCACTGTGCTGGCGGCACAGCAAGGGAAATGAGGCCAGACCACAGATTTGATGTTCAGTGATATTTGTAAATTAAGTATTTTTAAGTTGGGAACTGCTTATACAACATGTAAAGAAACAGCCAACCAATACCTTTTTTGATGAATAAACCTCCAAAAATGGAAAGCCTCTGTTTTTGTTTTGTTTTGTTTGGAGAGAGGGAAGTCTTATAAAACTCTTCTGTATTAAAGTTTTGATAATTTAGCTTCTAACACACATGTCTCTAAAGTAATGTACAGTTGCAAAGTGTACTGAAATCTTTATTGATAATTAAAGCATCAAGGCAGAAAACATAATTGTGTCTCTGCATTTTAAAGAAACTATCTTCCTAGTTTTTTTGTTTTTTAATACTGTAGACTCTTTAAGATATCCAAAAGCAAGAGAGAGAAAATGGAGACTTCAGCACTTGTTAACAGCCTACAAAAAGTCTTCATGCAAAAGCTGAATCAGGCAAGGCATCTGTTTTAAAAGTGTATGAGAGAAGTGACAGCTAACTCTTAAGATCATTAACTTCCTTCTTCACTATGGTCCTTTCTACCTATCCTAAAATCCTTAATTTTGTTAACACCATATAGTTTGAACTATATAGTTCTAAGTGTTTACTTCAACTCTTCCATGATAATGATTTAGAGACTCACTCTCTCTCAACACCAAGTTTTATTGAAAATAACACTAAAAATAATGAAATGATTTAATTAATATATCAAAATATGCATAGAAGTTAATATTGCCCTTCCTATTAAAAAAAAATTCTCCTGAGGAAAATATTTGCACTTACTCCAACAAGTCAACCACTATCCCAAACTCATGACACTATTAATTAATGAGTATTAATTACCCAAAAGAATTACTCTGAAGCACCTACAATGTTTTCTGAATATTCTTAATAATACCATAATTTCCTTTTCCTTTTTTTTTTTCTTTTTTTTTGAGATGGAGTCTCACTCTGTTTTCAGGTTGGAGTACAGTGGCGCCATCTTGGCTCACTGCAACCTCTGCGTCCTGGGTTCAAGCAATTCTCCTGCCTCAGCCTCCCAAATAGCTAAGACTACAGGTGCACGCCACCACGCCCAGCTAATTTTTGTATTTTTAGTAGACACAGGGTTTCACTATGCTGGCCAGGATGGTCTCGATCTCTTAACCTCGTGATCCGCCCACCTTCGCCTCCCAAAGTGCTGGGATTTACAGGCATGAGCCACTGTGCCCAGCCAGCATAATTTCTTATATTTAGTGTGCCTTTAAACTTTGGAAACTGTTCAGGCAATCAGGCTTCAAAATATCATTTCCAGTCCAAATGAGGTATCATGTTGCTATGAAAGAAAAAAAGATATTCTCATGTGGTCCACAAACCAGAAAATAAATTCCAATTTACTAGCTCTCAAATGTAATTTTATTTTAGATTTTTGGAATATACTGTTAATATCAATTTTTTTAATGACACTGCATCTTCATTATTATTGCACTAGTCCAATCATTATATTGCTTACTGCTAAAACACTGCAAGAGCTTTAAAAAAAAAAAAAAAAAAAAAACTTTTATTTTGGGTTCAGGGGTACATCAGCAGATTTATTACATAGGTAAATTCTGTGTCAGAGGGGTTTCGTGTACAGATTAGCATAGTACTCAGGTAATAAGCAAAGCACCCACTAGGTGGTTTTTCGATCTTCAGCTTTCTCCCACCCTCCACCCTCAAGTAGACCCAGTGTCTGTTGTTCCCTTCTTTGTTTCCATATGTACTCAATGTTTAACTCCCACTTATAAATAAGAACATCCAGTATTTGCTTTTCTGTGTCTGTATTAGTTTGCTTAGGATAACAGCCTCCAGCTCTATCCATGTCACTGCAAAGGACATGATCTTGTTCTTTTTATGGCTGCACAGTATTCTATAATACCTTAATTTTTAAAAAATAATTATGATCTAAAAATAACTTCATGATAAGTTTTTGGATTCAAGATATAAAACTGGTCTTACGTATTTTTTATGTCTACATATTTTATGTATATATTTTTATGTGTGTGTATACACACACACACACACACAAATAACCAACTAAACCAGTTATTAACAGTTAAATACAAGAACAATATAATGTAAGATACAATAATCTCTTTTATCTCATACATTTTCCAAAATACTATTTTCTCAGTGGGAACTAAAAGTAATGCAAGTTCTTGATGTATGTGTTTGGTTCAGTGCTATATTCCCACCTAGAACACCACTTGGCACACAGCACCCAATAACTATTTACTGAATGAATAAATCAGTATAGAAATTTAATACGTGGCCATGGATTTAGCTGATTTATATTTTGCTGTGTTAATTATGCTAGAACATGTTCTCTTTTCATATGGAACAATCAACAAAACATGAGACTGTAAGAAAGGACTAAGTACTTCAACTGACAGCCACTCCATTCCTAAAATTGCTCAGGCCAAAAACTCTTTCTTGATTATTCTTCCCACACACATCCATCCAACTTCAGGAAATCTGGCTCTGTCTTCAAAACACTATCCAGACTCTGCCCTATTCTAAGCCACCAACATCTCCTGCATAGATTCCTGTCCCTCACCCTTTGATGTCCTCTCCCGCTTCCTTTCACAGCTTAATCCATGGCCACTCATAATCACTCCCCTGCAAATACCCTCGACCTCCTTGCCCTTCTCTTATTTCACCATACTTAGTTAGCAAAGCCATAACCTGGTTAAATATAATTCTTCACCTACTCTGCATCTCAATATGGCTAATCATCATGCTTTAAATTAATAACCACATACCTCAATTGCACCCTTAATGCTGCCAGCCAAACATAACCTAACTCCCTGGCCTATTCACTCACCCACTCTATTTCACATCTTCTTCATCCTCAATTCCAATGCCTCCTTCCTCACCTTACTCACAGTGAAGTTTGCTTCCTATACTTTACTGAAAGTAAAATTTTTAATGAAGCTATTTGAAGAGAACTTCCATAAATCACCTGCCACTGTCTACTTTCAAACTGTATTTCTGCCCACTGACACAGATAAATTATCCAACTTTCTATGTAATGCCAATCCCTGCACTTGTAAAGTAAATCTCTCAGCCCCTCAAGAGCATCACTCCAGGAATTAATTCATCCTTTACATTTTGCTCACAGTGAATTGTTGCCATTGGCATATAAACATGTTGGGTTTTTGCTCCCATCCTTGAAAAAAAAGGCAAAACACTCTCAACCTCACTTCACTACTTCTCCATTCCTTTCTTCCTTGTGAAGAAAATCTTAAAAACATTCCCAATTG